CCCTAAAGGGGCCGCGGCCCTTGGCATCCAGCAGGCGCTCAGCTGCTGCCTTGATTGCCAGAAGGTTTGCCTGCTAACTGGAGAGTTGGGCATCTTCGGGTTCTGATAACCCTCTGCTGGAACCTCCCCCCCACCCCCCGGGGTAGCGGTGTGCTCACCTGTCGCGAGTCCATTTCGTGGATGGAGCCAATGGCGTGGGCGGAAGGCGTAGAGCTGCGTTTTAATAATTTCTCCGTGTGAGACACACGCCCAACTTTTTTGAGAATGATCGGTGTATTCGACTATAACGGTTTTTTTTTTTTTTTTTGGATGCTAGTTCTTCGTAGCAGTTATAAATCCTTCGTGATTGATACAGTTTTGCGCTGTCGTTATTTTCGTTCTGTACCGGGTCCCCCGTCTAAGGTAGAGCGTCCCAGGTATTGTTCTAGGTACCGGAGGGAGACACAGCAATGGAGAAAGCCAATAAAACCCCTGATCTCATGGAGCTTGTGTTAGTAGCGGTAGAAAAACAAGGTAAAGGAGTACGATGGTGGAGAGGAAAATGAAAACATTTGGGAAAGGGAATTAAATTTAGCTAGGGCTGTTGAAACGCCTCAGTAAGAATGCCAGCATTTGCTAAATTAAGCTGACCTTTTGTGTGGGTGCTTCAGTGAGAGGATGTAGCAGTCTCCTTTGGGAGGTGGAGAACAGTTACTTTCCGAGCTGTGTGACAGAAAGGAATCCTTTGGTGGGCTTTGAAAGACCTTACGTCAGTAGTGCAGGTGGATACTGTCATTGACTTCTTGGGCACTGTGGTGTGGGTTGGGGGAGAGCTCGGTTCATTTCGAGGGGATTTTATTTTTTCTTGTGGAGTATGTTTAGGTTTGAATGTTGCATGAAATTTTAAGGAGGTTGAGACCAAGCACACAGAACAAGAGACCCTCCTTATAAGGGTAGGAGACAGATTATGTTTTGTGGGATTCTAGATGGCCCTGGGTTATTTAATAGTTGAAGCTTAGAGGTTTGTTCTTTACCTGTCCACTTACCTTTTTCCCTGGTCTACTGTGGTCTTTTCCTTTCAGTGTGCTTGCCTCTCCTTGACTGTTCCATCCTGCTCCTCCTGCCCACTCTTCCTGGTGGTTTTGATCTCATTTCCTGCCTTCTCCTTCAGCATGTGCTATGGTCGTATTCCATTACATTATTTCATCAACAGACCAGGAAAGCAAAGCATTCTACAAGCCATCTAAGTCTAAGGTGTGGGTGTCTGCCCCCACCCCATAGGAAAAGCACAGTAGCCTGAAGGATGGTGTGTCTCCTTAGGGTCACCTACATGGAAGCTCCGATGACTCTGAAGTGGAAGATGAAGCCAAAGACACTCTTCCTTCTCAGAAGAAGCCAGTTTGGGTGGATGAAGATGATGAAGATGAGGAAATGTAAGTTACCCATTCCTTTCAGAATCCCTCCCGACACTTTAAAAGTTAACTTGTAGATTTTTACAAGCCATTGTCTTGGAAAGTATGATTACATGAAGAATTGAACATATGGAAGTGCAGGAAAAAGGTGGTTCACAATTCTGTGTCTGAAAGAAAGGCGCTGTTAAATTGTCTTTCCTTGTCTGTGTGCAGGATAGACTGCTTAAGTAATCAGTGGCATTAGATCTTAGCTTGCCTTTGGTTCCTGACTACCTCAGGACAAGTTTGGAATCTCTACCTCTTCATAAGTAAAATGAGTGTCAGAATAGTGACTGTAGCAGAAGGCCCTTCAGATTTAAGTGATGCATATAGAATTTTTAGCATAGTGCCTGAAACTCAGTGAAGACGTGACATAAAGTTAGCACACTGTATTATGTGAGTGTATACTACATACTTACTTTAACAGTTTTACCTTTTCTATCTAAAAGTTATATTTGAAGCATGGCACCTCACTTTTGAAGAAACACCTTTATGAACAGTTTTAAATGGCTGTGTTGTCCCTGTATGAATCAAAAATTTATTGAACAAATGAATTTTTCTATTTTTCATTTCAGAATGCTGACGTAAGCATCTTTATGAAAAACCTTTTGTGTTTCTAATTGATTTCTTAAAGATTCTTTGGGGGTATTATTATTTGAACAGAGACTACATGTATTATAGGGCTACTGATAAATACTGTCAGATTGCATGAATGTTTATCTTCCCCATGTAAAGTGTGGGTTTCAGGTTTTTTGTTTTCTTTTTTATGATCAGTGAGTGTTATTTTGCAGGCTTTCTTAAATTGTGGTTAGGGAAATTGATACTAGTTATGTATATTATATATATTCTCTGTTGTTTTTATTAGCGATCTTAGTGTCTCAGATTTCTTTGTTTTTTGTTTGTTTGTTTGTTTGTTTTCCGAGACAGGGTTTCTCTGTGGCTTTGGAGGCTGCCCTGGAACTAGCTCTTGTAGACCAGGCTGGTCTCTAACTCACAGAGATCCACCTGTCTCTGCCTCCCAAGTGCTGGGATTAAAGGCGTGCGCCACCAACGCCCGGCTTCAGATTTCTTAATAAGAATTTCAAACTTTGATTTGCTAGAGATGAACCCAGTGTCTGTGCATGCTAAACGTGTAGTTTGCTATTGAGCTCCATTCCTTCCTGTCACATTTACCGAATGTTTTCTTCACCTTTCTTACGAAAGAAATTTTCAGTAGTCAGATCTTTGAATCTTTCGATTCATTGTTTTTATTTATTTATTTTTTTAAGATTTATTTATTTATTTATTATGTATACAGTATTCAGTCTGCACCCCAGAAGAGGGCACCATGTCTCATTATAGATGTCTGTGAGCCCCCATGTGGTTGCTGGGAATTGAACTCAGAACCTCTGGAAGAATAGCCAGTGCTCTTAACCTCTGAGTCATCTCTCCAGCCCTATTATTTATTTATTTATTTATTTATTATGTAAACAACATTCTGCTTCCATGTATATCTGCACACCAGAAGAGGGCACCAGATCTCATAACGGATGGTTGTGAGCCACCATGTGGTTGCTGGGAATTGAACTCAGGACCTCTGGAAGAGCAGTCGGTGCTCTTAACCTCTGAGCCATCTCTCCAGCCCCTCTCCAGCCCTATTTTTGTTTTTTTTGTTTTTTTTAACAGTAAAATGTCCTTTAGTAGACTATTGTTTGCCGATAAAATACAGGCAGTTTTTGGTGGTTTGCTTTTTGTGTATTTGACTTGCCTGGGATATTTTGAAGGGTGACCTGAAGTGTTACTCCAGATTCTTAAGGATGAGTTTCCTTAAATATTAGCTCTCCAGAGTGTATGAGAGACTCAGGAAGGGGAATGGAGAACATATATATGAAACACTCCACATCTTACAATCTTTAACTTTGCTTTGTTCTAGTGAATGTTTTATTAGAATATCAAAGGCAGCACCATTTTATGATGGCTTTTTTACAAATCATTTAAAATATGTTTGTTCTGTACTTCATAGAGTTGACATGATGAACAATCGGTTTCGGAAAGAAATCATGAAAAATGCCAGTGAAAGTAAACTTTCAAAAGATAAGCTTCAAAAGAGACTTAAAGAGGAGTAAGTATCCTTTTTCCTGTGATTTACTAAGATAAGATGTGCATAAACAGCCATTTGTTTCTCTTCGGAACAGCTTTTTAGATAGTCACATATGTATCATGAAAAAGTAGGCATTACTTGCTTAGTGACTTCATGTTAAGTATTTATGGCAGGGAATGCAACAGACGAAGATAATTTGAAGTGGAAAATAGCAGCTTGAATAACTACCACTTAAATATAGTCTGGTAACTATAATATATATACTTAAATATAATACTGGTAACATGATTATTCCTTTGTATGTCCAAACCTTTTCCCCCCTGAGACAAGCCTCTCATTGTGTAGCTTAGTCTAACCTTGAGACTCTAGGTTCTCCTGCCTCAGCCTACCGAGTACAGGAGTTACTGGTAAGCACCACTATGCTTGCCTTTCACCAGAATATGAAAAATTACAAAAATGTAAGCACTCGTTGTAATTGGGCTAAATTAAAAAACAAACAAACAAAAAACCTCTTTACCGGTTGGCTTTATTTATTTGAGTATTTGAATTTTTCAGGATCTGTGTGAGAGTGAGATGTTGATAATGTGACACTTAACACCCGAATTTCTCGGTGTGTATGTCACCATAAGACTAAAGAGATTTTCTTGCATGTTTACAGTGTCATATCTAAGAAATTAGTAGCTGACCAGTCAACATTAACTTCTCTTGATTAATAATTAAACCAATATACTTACCTTTGTTACTTTTTTTACATGATACTTCACTACTTTTTTATTTTTTTAAAAAAATCACTGTTTATTGTGTGTGAGGTCAGCAAACAACTTTCTGGACTTAGTTCTCTTCTTCCACCATATGGGTTCCAGGGATTGAACTAAGGTTGTTAGGCTTGGAGGCAAGTACTATTATTTGAGGTAGACAACCCAAAGGTTCCCCCCATGCCAAGTCTTACAGCCCCCTACTGGTCTCAAACTCATTTTGATCCATCTGCCTCCATTTTCCAAGTGATGTGATTGTAAGTCTGTGGCTCTACATCTGTTTTTGTGTGGTGCTGGAATTGAGCATATTAGGACTTTAATAATAAAATTTTAAATAGTTTTTTTTTTTTTTCTTCTTCGAGACAGGGTTTCTCTGTGTAGCTTTGGGGCCTATCCTGGCACTTGCTCTGGAGACCAGGCTGGCCTCGAACTCACAGAGATCCACCTGCCTCTGCCGAGTGCTGGGATAAAAGGCATGCACCACCAATGCCCGGCTTTAAATAGGTTTAAAAAATTTTTTTACTGCTTTTTTTTTTCATTTTGGCTTTTTGAGACAGGGTCTCTCTGTAGTTCAGGATATTCTGGAGCTTTCTATATAGATTAGGCTGGCCTTCAATTCCTGTCTCAGCCTCCCAAGCACTGGGATTAGTGTGTGCTACCATGCCTGGCCTAGTTAGTGTTTTATAAAAATCATTATGGGGATTGAAACTAAAGGACTTGCTAGGTAAGTGTTACTATACTGCTGTATTACCTCTTCCCGTTTATTCTGAGACAGATATTTTCTAAGTTGATTAACATGGCACCTTAATTCCCTTTGTCATGTTGGCGTATTTCAAACTTAATATCATCTTCCCTTAGCCTCTTGGAATTTGGTATATTCTAGTCTTTTTTTTTTTTCAGGCATATCCCTTCAGACATGTTCTTCATGTATTTCTGTATTATGGTATTAGTTTGCAATCACAAATAAACTATATAGTTCCAAAAATACGCGATAAACTGATAAGAGCAAACAAAATGCCATGTGATTGAATGTAAATTTAACAACAAATATGGATTGAGGTACACAGTGCTGGTTTTAGTGGGCAAAGGTTCTTGAGTTTCTAGTACAGAGAGCTTGGGACCATTCAGTGTGAGTAAAGATACTAGTTTTGGAAGAGATTCTGTATATACACTAAAGGGTGCCAAGATCTATGTAGAATCTGAACATTCAGTAGTGTTACCACAACTTTTTTGTTTTTCTCTCAGATTCCAACATGCAATGGGAGGAGTACCTGATTGGGCAGAGACTGGGAGGAAGCGGAGAAAATCTTCAGATGGTTAGTGTTGATGTCTAAGCTAGTAAATCCCTTCCCTTGTTTTGTTTTTATTGGGGTTTTCCCAAGCTTTTAAAAATGAAGTGATGTAAATAAGCTTCCCTCCTTTTTGTTGGCTTTGCAGTCTGAGATTTCTGAGAGAGAGTCCTGTTTTTATAGCATAGGCTTATTGAATACAGGTTGAGTATCTGTAGTTTGTATCATGAAATATTTTAGAATTTGAAACTTTTGTAGTACTGGCCTTTTGAAGCCAGGAGTGGGAAATTCTACACAGTAGAACTGTTTTATGTGCAGAATTATCAGAAGTATCATCAGAATCACCTTCAGGCAACATGTAAAAGTTGTAAAACAAATGAGTTTCATGTTTAGCTTTGGGTCATTCCTGAGTTAGCCTTATTACGTATATGTAGGTACTGAGTCTGTTCTCCAGAGCACTGCTGATCTAAGCCTTGCAGATGAGGGATAGACAGCCTGTGGCATCTTACTTACTGTAAGGAAAATAGAGGGTGAATGGATTGTGTCTGTCTTTACAGGACTGTGTTGTTTTATGACATAGGATTAAGGAAAAATGAGTAATACTTGATTCAGAGCCCCTTCTGAAGATACCTGTTAACTAATCTAGCTGTCCACCCAGAAATGGGATGTCTGTCAGTGGAGCAGATATCAGATTAAGCCCCGATGATAATATAAAAACTGCAGTTTTAATAAGATTAGCCTGTGTTATTAAATATTTTCTAGTTTAGACCCTCTGAGTTTAGATACTGTTAAGTAAGGATGGCTTTGTCAATTTCTGATTTGTGTGCACCGTTAGAAAACTTAGAATTAACATTTAAAGTCTGTTATGTAGCCTCACATGTAGAGAACTCTTAATATCTTTTTTTATTGGTTTCACTTGGAAATGATACATGATACTCATGCATGCTTCAGACAGTATTTTGCCAGGTAACTCTTGAGTGAGTTATGTAGACCAAGCAGTATTTGAGCTTTCAAAGATCTGCCCGCCACTGCAGTGCTGGGAAAAACATTTTCACATTATGTTGCTGGGTGGTGGTGGCGCATGCCTTTAATCCCAGCACTCGGGAGGCAGAGGCAGGCCGATCTTGAGTTCGAGACCAGCCTGGTCTATAAGAGCTAGTTCCACAGTAGCCTCCAAAGCCAGAGAGAAACCCTGCCTCGAATTCCCCCCCCCCAAAAAAAAAAAAACAAAAAAAAAACCACTCAGGCCATCTGTTTTTTTCCTGTATTATAGTCTGGATGTTTTCAGATCTGTCATCTAATTTTAGGACACTGGTTAAAAACATCCATTGGAGACTAAATTTTAATTGCTGTGTTTTTAGTTCTAGAATTCCCATCTGGTTCTTTTTTTGGGGGGGTGGGGTGGGCAGAGTCTCATATAGCTTATGCTGGCCCTGAACTTGTGGCAGCCAGTTCTCCTTTTCTACCATGTGGGGCCTGGGCATCAAACTGGTTGTTAGGCTTGGTGGCATGTGCCTTTACCCACTCAGCCATCTTGTTATTCCTCATTGAGGTGCTTATACACAGTTGGCTGGCACTGATCTTTCTTTTTCATGTCTGGTGTTAAGCTATATCTCTGTCTATCCTGTTGCTAATTTTACCATAATTATGAATTGCTCTTTTTAAATGAAACGCTCTCTTTATTTAAACTTGATCTCTTTTCATCTTAGTAACCATCTGTGTGTGAGTCTTCTTCCCAGCAAATTTTAACTATATATAGATATAGATAGAGATATATATCTCTATCTATATATAGTGCTGTGTCACCTTTTTTTCTTTCACTGTTTTGATTTTATCATTTTTCATCTCAAAAAGCAGTTGAGGTTGTAAAGCTAGGATGGGAGTTGGATTTGGAAATTGAGAAGTTTGGGTTAAGAAAAGGCCTTCTGATTGATTCTAAAGATTAGCCTTGTGGGTTTATTTGACTCAGATGAAAGTGAAGAGGATGAAGATGATTTGTTGCAAAGGACTGGGAATTTCATATCCACATCTGCTTCTCTTCCAAGAGGAATCTTGAAGGTGAGAGTTGTTGAAATTGGACCTATCGAGTTACTGACTAGTGAAATCCATCCTGCTTCCTAAGTTGTGCAAGTATGGATACTGCTTGTATATGAGTCTAGTGTTTTTGTTGTCATTTCATTTGTTTACTAAATATTTGTTAGGTTTTTCTTTTGCAGAAATGATGGAGAGCTACTTAAATATGTCCTACTTCAGTACTTCTAGGGATCCTATTTGGTTTCTTTTCCTCTCCATTGACAGCAGCAATCTCCTGCTGCTGCCATCTCAGTCAGCCTGCTTCAGTGTTACATGACCAGGTTCTCTACATCTACTGTACCTCATTCCGTGAACTATTCTTAATATAGTAATACTAGAGGGAGCTTTTATTTATTTATCTGTGTAAGTCAGGGTATGTGCATGGGATGCAGGTACCTAAGGAGTCCTGCCAGAAGAGGGCATTCGATCATTGACGCTGGTTACAGGTGGCTATGTGCTGTTTGATATGGGTGCTGGATCTTGGATCTGAACTTGGATTCTCCGCAGGAGCACTGTATACTCTTAACCACTGAGCCATTTCCCCAGCCCCTAGAGGGAGCTTTTAAAAATAGTTTCAGGTCATATCTTTTATAGTTGGTTTTTAAACCCTCTGTATTTCTGTCATAGTCTACAGTGTCCTTCATGGTCTTTCTTGTACCCACATCCTTAGCTTCATTTCAGACTTTATCTTATTTGTTACTCAGGCTCACACAGGCCTTTGTGTTTCTTAAATATACTGGGTCCTTTTCTTGCCTTTGAACCTGTCTGTACCTTGCTTTCTTTTGTCTATGCCTTCCTTAGGCACTGCTAGTGGGCAACTGCCCTTGTTTCTTCCCAAATAGCATTTTGGGAAGATACTTACTTTCAGTGCTTTGTTTACTTGCACCATGTCTGATTCACTAATTCTAGTAACCAAGTGCTTCCCCAAAGTATCTGTCAAGTTAGTAGCCTGTCTAATAAACATTTTCCTTTCTATAAAATGCTGTTTATGGAGATGGGCCAGTGATAGTAATAGTATGGTAAGTTACAATTAGACGAAAATGGTGCTTGCTCTTCCTCCTTTGCCATGGTTCTACTCCTTGAAGTTGAAGCACTTTACTGTAAAGACACTTACTGTGCTTCTCACCTCCACACTTGTGCTGTGGCACACCTGCCCATGCTCACACATCATTCACATACACATTAAAAATGAGGAATGAATGAAGCTGCATTTAAAAAATATCAAAATTTAATTTCAGTGATTCTGAACACAGGCAGTACTTACTTTGTTCCTAAATGAAGTTTTAGAGTGTCTGTGTGTGTGAACTTAGAAAATAAAAGACAGCTAGAATAGTTCAAGTGTTGTAAGAGATCACGATCATTTTAAACTAGCCACCTGTGTCTTCAGGGGAACATAGTAGTCTTTATGGACTGTAGACTTTGTGGACAGTGACATAGAGTCTGTTGCATTTACATCAAAGCAGGCATTTTAAGTAAAGTTTCTCAAGTGCCAGTCTCTTAACAAAAATTGATATGTCTCTGAGACATTTCTGTATGCTAGTACTCAAAATGTGCTTAGTAAATTTACGCTTCACTTGTAGAAAGGTATACCAGACTGTTGATTACTGTGACAAAATATATCATAGAACAGCGTAGAAAGAAGAAAGATTAACTTTGGTTTCAGATTTTTTTTTTTTTTTTGGTTTTTCAAAACAGGGTTGCTCTCTGTAGCCTTTGCTGTTCTAAAATTACCTCTGTAGATCAGGCTGGCCTCAAACTCAGTGATCTGTCTACTTCTGCTGGGATCAAAGGTGCACATCACGTCTGGCTCTCAAGGGTTGAGTCCATGGTCTGCTGTTTGTTTGCTAGGCTTTGGTAATGTCGTACATCATGTTGAAGGCATAGAAAATTTAAACTGGTTCCCTCATAGTCTCCAGGGAGCAGAAGAGAGTACCAGAGGGGTCAAGGAAAAGCATCGTGTCAGGGATAGTCCTCAGTGACCTTCCCTGAAGTTCGGCCTCTCCTCAAAAGTTTCCAGTCCCTTCTACAATAATCTGCTTTAGATCTAGTCTTCAACGCATGAGCCTGTGGAGAACATTTCATGTTCAGAACTTAGCAAAAGGTACAGATGGATTCTTGTGTAGTAAAGTGACTTATTAACTGGTGCCAGGTCCATGGTCCTCTGGTTACTGTTCAGTTCTGCATTATAAACAGCAGTGTTTTTTCTTCTTTCTCTAAGACAATGGTTCTCAACCTTCCTAATGCTGCAAACCTTTAATTCAGTTCTTTGTGTTGTGGTGACCCCCACTCCCCAACCTCAAAATTATTTTCTTGCTACTTTATAACTAATTTTGCTACTGTTATGCATTGTAATGTAAATATCTCATATGGAGGATATCTGGTATTCGACCCTTGTGAAAGGGTTGTTTGCCCCAAAGGAGTCACGACTCACAAGTTGAGAACTGCTACTATAAGTGATGCCAAGACAATTGACTTGATAAAATGCCAGCTTTGTATTTTCACAGATGAAGAACTGCCGGCCTGCCAATGCTGAACGGCCTACCACTGCTCGGATCTCATCAGTGCAGTTCCATCCTGGTGCACAGGTGGTGATGGTCTCTGGGATAGATAATGCTATCTCACTATTTCAGGTATGAATTTCTAAATGAAGTCCAGCAGTGAAAAGTATTCACCACCAGATTACAGAGTCTGTGGAAATAACCAAAGAAAAACATTTATACTTTCTTACAGGTTGATGGCAAAACAAACCCTAAAATCCAGAGCATCTATTTGGAAAAGTTTCCAATCTTTAAGGCTTGTTTCAGTGCTAATGGAGAAGAGCTTTTAGCCACAAGTATTCGCAGCAAGGTTCTTTATGTCTATGATATGCTAGCTGGAAAGTTAACTCCTGTACATCAAGTGAGAGGTAAGACTTGTGTTAACACAGAGTCAATCATCCTTATTTTACCCCTTCTCTCAACCTGAATTTATCAATATTTGTAGTCCTTTTGTTTAGAGTATCACTGCTTACATTTGGTAAATGAGCTGATTTGTTTACTTTTTGGAGAGCTCATTCTCTGGTTCATAGCTGAGCTGTTGAATGCTAAAAAAAAGATGAAGTTTGCCAGCCGTTTTGAAATGAACATTTTGGTTCTTTTTGATATTACCTACAATCGGACTTATTCAGAGCCTGGGTTTTGCTTAATTTGTAGCTTGTATACATTTTAAAAGGTAAAGGAACTTAATTGTTAATTAGAAGGTAGACTTCTTAAAAGTCATTAAATCTATTGTTTCATCTTCTTAGGTTTGAAAGAGAAAATAGTGAAGCGATTTGAAGTCTCCCCAGATGGATCCTTCTTGCTCATAAGTGGCATTGCTGGGTTTTCTCATTTGCTATCAATGAAGGTGAAACATTTGTTGCTTCTTGTTCTTCCACTAGGTATTAATTCTAGGGGTTAACAACAGTCTTGAACTCAATGTGTTCTTTTTGTTTTTTGTAATTTTTTTTGTAATTGTTTTTTGTAATTTTTTTGAGACTGGGTTTTGCTATATAGCTTTGGCTGGCCTCCAACTCATAGAGATCCATTGCACTCAATGTGTTTTTGAATCTATACCTCAAGTAGAACTTTGGGAGTTGTAGATAGTTGGGGGAAAACTTTTGACAATGAGAAAAATAGAGTCAGGGCTGGAGAGATGGCTTAGAGCACTAGCTGTTCTTGCAGAGCACCTAGGTTCTGTTCCCAGTACCCACATGTTGGTTTGCAATCTTCTATAACTCTAATTCCAGAAGATTTGTTGCCCTCTTCTGGCTTCCGTGAGCAGCAGGTGGAAATGTGCACAGCCATCCATGCAGACAAAACAGCTATACATATAAAATAAACTATAACCTAGAAAATTAGAGTCAAATACTTTCTGGAAGATAGATAACAGCCTTCTAACATCTAGTAAATAATTACTCTTAGACCAAAGAACTGATTGGTAGCATGAAGATTAATGGAAGAATTTCAGCATCCACATTCTCTTCCGATAGTAAGCGGATATATACGTCTTCTGGTAAGTTTGGATGTATTTATGTTTTCAATTTTATAAAAAGAAACCTACTTGGTTTCCTACTTACTGTTTTAATAAGAAAATCAGATATATTTAGTACTTATTTTCTGTCATTTGTCAGGTCAGTTAAGAACTGATAACAATGCAGGGTGTTAACCATCTCATACACAATGTTAGCATGCTTGCTATGTGTACCCTTACTCCAATGTGACAATTTTCAAGGAGATAGTTAAAACAAGAGTTTCACTGAATTCTCTTAGGGAGCATAAGGTTGTACATAGAAGGGCAAACCTTGGAACAGTATCTGTAGAAGAGGAAGGGATGAGAGGGAGTGAGGAGCTATCTATGAGGTGAATGAGATAATATTATAGGTATAATAGGATGAGAAGGTACTGTAGGAACAAGAAAACGTATTGATCAGTTTTGGGAGTTAGGTACCTTAATGCTTATTGGTATTTTTACTTTTCATACACTTGTTCCAATAATTTATTTTGGTGTGGGATATAGTTCAACTGAAATGTGTGGGGCTTTTCTTTTGTTTTTGTTTTTTTTTTTGGTTTAACTTTAAACCTAAGGATAATGTTTCTTTGAATCACTGATGAACTTTTGTATATATTTGAAATGTTCTTAGTTTTAAAGCAAGATTAACTGAACCCTTCTTTGACTTTTACTTTCAGGGAATGGAGAAGTTTATGTGTGGGATGTGAATTCAAGGAAGTGCATTAACAGATTTTTTGATGAAGGCAGTTTGTATGGATTAAGCATTGCTACGTCAAAGAATGGGCAGTATGTGGCTTGTGGGTGAGTGAAGAGAATCATATCGTGCTAATTTGTTTAGGAGTTAAATACCCTAGATGGTACATGACTTTATTGACAACTTAGAAATATGAAATCATTAAACCCAGCTGAGCCTTTTGTTTTATAAAATTGTCTTGATGCATCATTTATTAATAATGGAAGTTTGTTGGCTTTTCAGTGGAGACGAAACTGTACTACCTTAATCTTTGTATATTTTCCCAAGTTTAGAATACTCATTTGTTCATGGTAAGATTTATTTTGGTGTATTTAGCTTCTTGCCATTGAGGAGGTACAGTGATTCAACTTTGTATTTAAATCTCTTAAGTTCTATAGCTAGAAGTAGTCAAAAACATATTCTTTGGAAATGCCATTTGTTAGTATAGTAGATGTCTTAGCCACTGTTGTTTTGCTGTGAAGAGATATCATGACCACAGCAACTCTTATAAAATGAGAGCATTAAATTGGAACTTGCTTATAGTTTCAGAAATTTAGTCTGTTATCAGCGTGGTGGCATGCAGGCATACTTGGTGCTGGAGAAGTAGCTGAAGAGTTCTGTATTGGATCCCAAGGGAGACCCATTGGTCCAGACTTGGGCTTTTGAAACCAAAAAGCCCACCCCCAGTGATACACTTCCTCTAACAAGGCCATATCTTCTTATCCTTCTCAAGTAGTGCCTCTCCCTGATGACTAAGCATTCAAATATATAAACCGGTGGGGGTTATTCTTATTCAAACCATCATAGGCACTTAATATTTCATAAAACATGTTATTAGGTTATTAATGGAGAAAATGGTTTATACTTGGGAAATGATGGCTTTATCTTTCTATTGATCTTAAATGTATGTAGGTGGAAGAAAGAGGAATTGCATAATTAGTGGTAGTTTAACCTAACTTACAAGATCTTATTATCATTAATTTTGGTAGTTCAAGATGTCTGTTTGACCTTAGACCAAATACAATTGAGTTATAAAGAAATTACAGTTAGGTATTCCCTGGAGTGGGAAGTTAAGGGTGGTGGTGGCATATGCCTTTAATCCCAGTACCTAGGAGTCAGATATGGCAGATCTGTGGTGACATATTGTTTATCATCCCTAGGCAAGCTTTATTTATTTGTTTATTTTTAAATATCCTTCTTTTTTTTTTTTTTTTTTAAAGATTTTATTTAGTATACAACATTCTGCTTCCCTGTATATCTGTACACCAGAAGAGGGCACCAAATCTCCTAACGGATGGTTGTGAGCCACCATGTGGTTGCTAGGAATTGAACTCGGGACCTTTGGAAGAGCAGTCAGTGCTCTTAACCTCTGAGCCATCTCTCCAGCCCCCCCCCCAGGCAAGCTTTATTAAATCATAAACAATATATTACCACATGGATCTCTCTGAGTTTGAGGCCAACCTGGTCTACAAAGCAAGTTCTAGGACAGCCAGAGCTGTTACACAGAGAAACCCTGTCTTAGACTCCCCCCCCACCCCCAAGTATTAAGTAGCCCAGGGTGGCCTTGGACTTATGGTAGTCTTTCTTTCTGAGCCTCCTGATTGCTAGAATCATAGGCATGAACTGCCATGCTTAGCTTAAAGTACTCATCTGTGAAAGATTGATTATAAGTGTAGACACTTAAAATTTACCTTTTAAGAGCATTGGATATAATTCTTTGTTGGGAACATTAATGTAAAATCTGAATGGATAACCATAAATTTTGACTATGAAAGAATGACTATTCCCAGGAAAGCCAAATTAAGGTGTCTGATTTTACTGCCTTTGTTCTCTAGTTTTGTAGTTCCCACAAATGGATTTGAAAAATGAAGAACTAGAAATGGCAGAAGGGAATGGTGGTATTTACTATAAAAAGAAAAGCGGCAGCTATCAGTGGGCAATGTCAGTTATCTTTCACATAATAGAGTATTAGGCAGTGTCCAGGCCTGCTGGTGCTAGTTTTAATCCCAGGTAGAAACTCAGGTAGCTGAAGCTGGAGAGAGTCAAAACTTCTAGGCCAGCCTGGCAACATGGTGAGACCCTATATTGGACGGGGGGTGGGGTGAGGGGTAGAGGGTGGGGCAAAGGGCTGGAGATACACTTGCTCAGCATGTATGTGAGGTGAGGCCTTAAGGCTAATCCCCAGTACTATCAAACAAAATGTAGTAGTACTGGAAGTTAGGCAGTAAGCACTGTGGTTTGCGTTGCATCTCAAGCACTCAAGTAGTACCAGGAATAGAGTGGACATTTGATACATTCTTTATTGGTAGAAAGTAAAATAGAGATTCTGTACTTTCTTCAAAGTTGTAGCTAGACCTACAGTTAAAAAGCTGCCAGAGTTAAGAGCTCAGCCAGACTGAAGCTGCGATGAGAATGTCTTTTGTCTTGACTTGAACTCTTCAGTCATTGGGCTCTTTGCAGTTTGTTTTCCATAAATACCAGTTCGTTTTAAATCTGTTTTATTTCCTTTTCTTTTTGCAGTTCTAAGAGTGGAGTGGTAAACATATACAGTCAAGATTCTTGCCTCCAACAAACAAACCCAAAGCCAATAAAAGCTATAATGAACCTGGTCACTGGTGTTACTTCCTTGGCATTCAATCCCACTACAGAAATATTGGCAGTGGCTTCAAGAAAAATGAAAGAAGCTGTCAGATTGGTAATAACTTTTTTCCCCTTCCCCTTTATCTTGATAATTTAAAATTTCATGTTGAAACAGTGAATGATAACAAGAAAGTAGTATTAGATTATTTTAAAAAGTGATTTCTAGATTGGAGGTGTGGTTTAGTTGGTAGAGTGCTTGCCTGGAGTACATGAGGCCTGAGTTCAATCCCCAGCACCAAAACAAATCCGGGGTGGTGACCCATGCCCATAATCAAACTCATCCTTTGCTATGTAGAGAGTTGAAAGCTGGACTGGTATGCATGAAAACCCTGTTTTAAAAAGCCAGAAACAACAGCAACAAAATGCCAAATAAAAAGTTAAGTCATCTCAGTTATGTTGTATTATGTAGAAATTATTAGTTGGGAGCTTTTGGGTTTGGTTGTTGCATTATTGCTTATTAGGCACCAGATTTTGCATATTGTGTGTTTTATTGGAAATTCTGCACTGTCAGCATTTCTAGTTATGGTCCTCATTTTCAGAGATTTATTGTATTACATAAATTAAGGAGCATATTTAAGGAAAGCACCTCATTTATCTACAGTTTCTTTAGTTATTTTCTAAAATCCTGTAGGTACAGTGGAGTGGAGGCAGTTCTTAGATTTTTGAAAGTATGTTGAGTTGACGTAAGTAAAGGTGCTACAATTCAAATAGCTAGATAGGGATTATGAATACCTGTGTTAAGAATGCCTTAGGCTACCCTCAGTTTTGATGATTTAATGGGAAGGCACAGGATCCAGTATTTGTCTGTATTATGGCTAAGATTTATTATACCCATAGGATACTAAGCACAATCAGCAAAGGGAATAGCTACACAAGCATGGAGCAGCCTGGGAGCTCCTTCCCAATAGAGTTGCACAGGATACATGTAAAACCTCCAGTCATGAGGTATGAATGTGCACATCAAGTATTTTCTACCTATGAGGCTCATTAGAGACTCAGTGCCCAGGTATTATGCATAAATCACTTCATTTACGTAACTGATTTGGGCTATCCAGGCCAAGTCTACTATCCTTATCACTCACAGAAAGTAGAGTACTGGGGCTGGAGAGATGGCTCAGAGTTTAAGAGCACGGGCTGCTAATTCCCAGCAACTGCATGGTGGCTCACAACCATCTATAATGATGTCTGTTGCCTTTTGGCATGCAGACATACATGTAGGCAGAACACTGTATATACAATAAATAAATAAATCTTAAAAAAAAGAAAAAGAAAGTAGAGTACTGTTTACCCAGGCATCATCCAAAGACCACTCTGTAAGTCTTCCTGAGAATACTGGCCTTGGGACCACGTTAACTCTTTTTGCTTCAACCTTAGAGTTCAGTTTAAATGTCACTGTTTTATGGAAGTTTCGTACTCCTCAACCAATTCCTTCATTTAACAATAGTTTGCTTTTAGACTCAGGTATACAGATGCTATCCAACTTTGAGTAGCAATATTGTGTTCGGCTACTGTTATATGTACACTGGTGGTTTGTATTTAACAAAGGCTAATTTTTATCTTGCTTCCTCAACAAAGAGCTTACATATATTAGATAATAATATGTATCTTACGAAGACTTACATAGAACTCTTCATAACTATTTTATGTTGATAACAGCTCTTCAGAGGATTTAGGGTTTTTGTTTTGTTTTGTTTATTTATAGTTACTAAAGGGCAGAATTATAATTTCGGATTTTATGCTCATTTTGTTTTGTTGAGGCAAGGTTGCATATAGCACAGGCTAGTCTTGAATTTGCCTCCACTTCTCCAATGCATGGATTACAGGTATGCACCACCATTGCCTTGCTTAGATTCTATACTCTTTGTAATACAGCTGTACAGGGCTTATTTGACAGGGTGAAGAAGAGGCTAAGTTCCTGCCTGGGTGGATATGCAGGTAGCTATCCTGGGCCACATATGGCCCATGTACTCTGGGTAGCTATGCCTGCAGGATGATAGCTACCTGTGAGGCCCAACACTTTGTAGATGGCAGTGGCATGATGCAATGTCAAAAGGTTGAATACCCCTAGTTGTAGAGCAGTGTCACTATCATCTGTGTGGTATAATAGAATTTGCAGGTAAGATTGTCCTGTTAGATGATTCTCAGAACCACTTATCTAATTCCTATGAGTTGTTACTTGGTTTGGATTGTTCTTTGTTTTTTTCCCTCAATTGCTGACTTTCTGTGTTGAATGTGATAGATGGATTCCTTCCCGGACTTTTGTACAGCTGTGTTCTTAAGTTTGAGGCTTTTTTCTTCCTCTGTAGTGTTCCTTCAGATCATTGCTGCCTACCTGCATTTATATATTTTGATCCTAATCACAATGCCATTACCTTCTTTGGTCTCGGTTCCCTACAGGGAACCCTTTCTTCCCTGCTACTCTTTCTGCCTCATGTCTGTTGGATAGATTCTTTGTTCTGAGTTTTATCCTTGGCTTCTCCCTGCCTGGGGTTTTAGGTTTGCCCTCTTGATCATATTTGAATTCTTTGTTTGTTTTGTTTTTCCAGATAAACTTTCTCTGTATCCCTGACTGGCCTGGAACTCAATTTGTAGGCCAAACTCATAGAGATCCACCTGCCTCTGCCTGTCTCTATTTCCCAAGTGCCTGGGATTAAAGTCGTGTACTTGGCTCATGTCTGAATTTTTTTAAAAAAAAAATTATGTGTATGAATGTTTTGTCTGCATGTATGTTCCATATGCATGCTTGCTGTTCATGAGGGTCAGAAGGGGGTATCAGTCCCCTGGAACTAGAGTTACTGATAGTTGTAAGCCACCATGTTGGTGCTTGGAACTGAAATTAGGTCCTCTGCAAGAGCAGACAATACTTTTTACAGCTAAGCCAACTCTCCAGCCCCTGTATCTGAGTTCTTCAGTGTTATTGTTGTACTTTTCTCTATAAAAGATGTTTGAGTATAGTGTTTTGTCAGCCTTTTCTTCCACTCCTAATATTTGGTCATATCTGTTGGTGATACTTTACTTTTTTTTTTTTTCTTTTTTGAGACAGGATCTCACCATGTATCCCCTGGCTGGCCTGGTTTGAAGTACACCAGGCTGACTTCAAACTCAAGGAGATCTGCTTGCTTCTGTCTTCTTAGTACTGCTGTTGTTAAAGGCATCCTCTCTCCTCTACTTTGCTTAGTAAGCTTCCGATGTCTTTTTCAGACATCTTTCCTGTTTTGGTACCTTGAGTTGAAGAACAATGGGGAACTGTCAGTTTTTCAACTGCTGTCCTTTTTCATGTTCATGCTTCTGTGTTGCTGTGTGTGCATCTGCTTTGGGCGTCTCTTCCCAGTTTTGTTTAGGAATTTTATTGAACACCTATTCTTGAGGACTTAGAATCTATGTAGTACCACTGAGAGGAGAAACTTAGCTGATGTAATAGTTAAACCAAAATGGAAAATGTAGAAATACTTAAAATGGATTAAAGACCACTGACAGATCCCAATGACCATAAAACAGAAAATGTAGAGTACTGTCAAATTTGAAAAAGCAAAACAAAACAAAACCTCCCCCAAAATTAAAATTTCCCAATAATGAAAAAGTTAGAGACCACTCAGTGGGTAAAGTCCTCTGGAGAAACCTACAGAATCAACTGACCTGACCTAGTGAGAGCACACGGACCCCAGTCGTAATGCTGGGCAACCAGCATTGGACCGAACCAAACCCTCAGAATGTGGGTGCCAATTAGGAGGCCTGGGAAGTCTGTGGGACCTCTTAACAGTGGAACCAGCATTTAACCCTAGTGCATAAAAGGACTTCAGGAGCCCATTCCCTATGGAGGGATACTATTTTAGCCCCTTCCCCAAATGATGTGACAGACTTTGATGATCCTCCATGGAAGGCCTCTCACTATCCTTGGGGAGCAGGTTGTGGGGGGGATGGTAGGGGGAATGGGAGGATGGGAGGGAGAGGGAAGGGGGGTTGATATGTAAAGTAATTGTTTCTAAATAAAAGAAAAAAAGAAAAAAGTTAGAGATGACTTGGTGAGTAAAGTCTTTGCCATTCAAGTGTGAAGACCTGAATTCAAACCCCCAGAGCTCATTGCAGACTCACTGTGAGATGGGAAGTAGATATAGGGGAATCTGTGGGGTAAGAGACCGTCTCAAGCAAGGTAGAAGGCAATGACTGACACTGACACTGGGGTTGTCATCTGACCTCCATGCAGACTGCTCACACTCATTATGTGAGCATGTGTGACACAGACACACACAGATTTAGGTCGGGACTACTTGGCTCCATTTATGGAACAGTGCCTCCATGTATGCCACAGTCAAAGTGACCTGTATTTTATATCAGGATAGAAGGAAGTGGAAATTTAAGATAGTTCTTAGTTTTTGTAATTTAAGGCTTTTTATAATTTCCTGCAGGTTCATCTTCCTTCCTGTACAGTATTTTCTAACTTTCCAGTTTTTAAAAAGAGTACTGTTTCTCGTGTTCAAACCATGGATTTTTCTCCCAGAAGTGGATACTTCGCCTTGGGGAATGAGCAGGGCAAGGCCCTGTTGTATAGGTAGGTAATATTTATGTTTAAAGATCAGATACATGATAAATTGCTTTTGAAAATGTGGAGAGAATAATATGTAATCACAGTTCTACAATTATGTAATGAGTTTATTAGTTCTTTAATTATAGCATGTCCAGCCTGACCCATCCTCATTATCTAACTGCATTTTTTTACTCCCATAAATGTGTAACTAGCAGAAAAATTTGCTCAAGGAATAAAAATAGTGTGTGTGTGGTTTGTAGCTTTTATAATGATTATTATTTTTCCCCAGAAAGCTTTGTTGTTTTTAGAATGCCAAATCAAGGGAAAATAGCCATTTTAATAATACTGCCACTTCCTTGGTAGTTTGAGATAGACTTTGCTGATTTGAAATCACTATTTACTTCACTGTTTCTTTCCTTGGAGCTCTAAGCTATAAATAAGGGTGTGAGCCACAAGATAGCAAAAAGTTATGTCATCTATCCAGCTTTTTTTTTTTTTATACCAACATACTTGTCTTTAAAATAGAAACAAAATTAATTTGCATCAGTGCTAAAATATACAGGTTGGCAGTGTATCTTTAGGGAGAACTGAAACTTCCAGTGGGAAACTGCCCTGATGTGATAATCCCTTTCCCTTTTGTTGGTACTGTGTGTTGCACAGAACCCTACATTTGTGTGTGAATGCTCCTGGGAATGCTGCAGGTTGAAGGAAAAAAGGAACAGAAATTGGCTTTAAAAATAGTTGTGAAATGAGAATATAGTGACTGTGGGTTAAACTGCTACCTCCTTTGAAAGGAAAATGAATTATACCAGGGTAATTTTATCAGTCTCATTTCAGATTAGTTTGGGATCAAGTACAGATTTTACTAAGAAGAGTAGCTCTTTGAGAGGTTTTTGTTTGTTTTAGAACTGAATGGTTCTTTAAGCCTCAGAAGCCGTGGCATTTTTCACATTGTGCTCTAGAATGAAACTGTCGTGGCTGTGCTAGTGATTTGGATTCACAACACTTTTACTGTGGCTGATGAGGTATTTTGTCAGTCCTCTGGAGCCATCATAGCAGTTTATGTATGTAAGGATCTAAACACATCTGCTTGTTGAGAATGACTGGAATCCTCCCCATCATCCCCACTCCCATCTTTCTGAGTGTTGCTCTATGATAGATTTAATTATTCTGTGGGTAATTAAAAATTATCTTTTGTTTTTCAGGTTACACCATTACTCAGACTTCTAAAGATGTTTTTCTTGAAGTAAGAAAATGCTCTTGAAAATAAATACATGGGTTTTAGGGTTGTACCACTGGTATTATTTGGTAGAGGTACCATATTGACTTAGCTCTGTTTCTCTGCTCCTAGGTCAGCTTTATATCCTTTATATTAGGGGAGTTGGGTGCAGATAGATCAGGAGCTGGCCAAATGACCTGAGTCTTCCTTGGAAATTACTAATCCCCAATCACAATGTCCTGCCTCCTCTATGGAGGTCACATTTCTAATATTGCATTCAGTAATTGTCATCAAAACTGTAGTTACTGAGCATGTAACCCACAAAACAGAATAAACTTCTCACAGAAGAATCGCAACTACAGCTTGTGTGAACTTAAATTCTCTGACTTGGGTGATTACTAAGTGGCTTGCCTTATTGCAGAGAGCTCAAAAATGACTAGATAATAGATTTTTGCTGGCCAGTATTTAAAACAAAGTATGTTTCCTATATGACTACATCTTAGACCTGATGTAGTGGTCCTGACATTGAGCTTTACAATTAATCTTTTTACTACAGCTGACTGCTTGCCTTCTTATAATTATGAATGTTGAAGAGACTACAGATAAGATTTAATTAGAGAAAAGGATTTTTAAAGATAGAAGTTTGAGCATGTAAAGAAAAAGAATGCACTACAGTTATCTTGCCTCTCAACAATAATAATGGCAGTACAGGTTGCTTGTGGTGAATGGTTATAAATCAGCGGTGTAATTTTTTTTTTCTCTTCTTTTTCAGATTCAATTGAACCCATTTCAGTACATCTTCCCAGAAATTTTCAAATGTGTAGGATAATATATAGATAATGACTTATGGAACCTGTGCTTTAGTTAGTAGCAGTGTCTTGATAAATGTATGGTAACTTTTGTTTGAAAATAAATGTACATGATTCTTTCTAATCTCTGCGTATGCACACACACATATGTAACTTGCATGCATTTCCTTTAAAAACTGAATGTGAGAAATTGGGAACATCTGTCAGTAATAAAAAATAATATAGGCAGGTGTTTTCATTTATATATCCCCCCATGAATAGATAATGTCCAGGTTTCAGAACAAGGCTTTAAAAACTGCCCAATTCACCTATTATTTTGTTCATTTTATTTGATGCAGGGTCTCTCTGTAGTGCTGGCTGTCCTACAGTAACTTGCTATGTAGACCAGGCTGGCTGTGAGCTCACAGCGATCCTCCTGTCTTGGCCACTTAGAAGCTGAGATTAAAGGCATACACTACCATACACTACCATACGTGGCTCCAGCACGAATTCTTTACTCAAGAAATTTTATGCAACCCTATGTATATAGGTATATAAAATTATATAAAATCTCTATGCAAGCATTTACTGGTAGTAAATCATACATTTATTTTAAAAACAATCATTTGGTATACTTACAGTTTTACCACTTATTAAGGGTAAAAGCAAGTTTGTATACTAAAGAGATGAATGTGTGTTTATTTTTATATAAAGAATTATTTCTTAGCTGGGTGGTGGTAGCACATACCTTTAATCCCAGTATTTGGAAGGCAGAGGTAGGCGGATCTCTGAGTTTGAGGCCAGCATGGTTTACAGAGTATGTTCCAGGACTGCCTCCAAAGCTACACAGAGAAATCCTGTCTTAAAAAAAAAATTAATTCTTGAGCCATGCAGACATTTTTAACCCAGCACTTGGGGGGTAGAGACACACAGATCTCTTTGAGTTTGAGGCCAGCATGGTCTATCTACAAAGAGTTCCAGGACAGCTAGGACTATTAAACAGAAAAACCAGGTCTCCCCTCCCATCCCCCAAAAGGAATTATTCTTGGATGAATATTTTATAACTGAAAGACAGTACATTTCACTTTATCAGGGTTGATATTTTGATTTTGCAATTACTGATGAGAATACTGTTTTATATAAATATAGAAAGTGGTAAAAGTATATTTAGGACTGTTCCAGGAGTTATTAGAAATTCTGTCCTAATCCTAGGCCAAACTTTATTATTAAAATAAAAATTTTATTACTTGTTTTTAATAACTTTGCACATGTTTTGATCAAGTTTACCTCCTTTCAGTCCACCCAGATGCATCCCTCTTCCTTACCCACCTAACTTTGTGTCCTCCTTTTCTTCAAAAACAAAACCCATCAAGTTCAATTTGTGCTGCCCATGTAGTTTTGGATGTGTCTCCTTTCACTGTAGTGTGTTTGACTTATCAGGGGCTACATTTTTAATAAAATGGATTCTTCCTCTCCCAGTAGCTTTCAATTGCAGATAGCACCTCTAGGAGTAGGATTTGGTGCCTACCTCCTCTCCATGTTGGTATTTGTGGCTTGAGCTTTAACAAGTGGTGTGCATGCTATCATAACTACTATGAGTTCCTAACATGTAGCTGTCCTGCTGCATCCAGAAGACATGGTTTCTTGTAGTTTTCACTGCCTCTACAGTTGCCCCTCGTCCACAGTAGTCTTCAAGCCTTGGAATGAAGGTGTTGGAACACAGTTAAAGGAATGAACGTGAGAGAGGATCCAGAAAAAAAGGAAGAATGCCTTTTTGGGTTTTTTCGAGGCAGGGTTTTTCTGTGGCTTTGGATGCTATGTCTACAAGAGCTAGTCTTGGAACTAGCTCTTGTAGACCAGGCTGATCTTGAACTCACAGAGATCTGCTTGCCGGCAGAAGGCCTTTTAACCTCAAGTGCATTTTGTTTTCTGGATTGTTCTTGGATTGATTTCATGCCTTCTGTGATAAATATTTGTATTCAATTTAAAAGACATGTGGCACAATAAATAAAAGATTCAGACAGATATGGGGGTTCAAGCTGAAGATCAGAGAAGCAAAGCAGCTAAGCCAGTAGATCTTACTTCTACCCAGCTGAAATGGCTGTCCTGTCTCCATGAATCCTGCCTGAGGCAAAAATCTCTCAGTTCCTGTCTCCTCCTCTTATTCCCTTTCTCTGCCCAGCCATATCACTTCTATCTCCACCTCCCTACTGCTGGGATTAAAGGCATGTGATCCCAGATGCTGAGATCATCTTTGTGTGAGCTCGCTCTTTTAAGGCTGGATCAGTTTCATGTGGTCAGTGTGGCCTTGAACTAACAGAGATTCGATACCTCTTAATCCGGAGTCCTGGGATTAAAGGTGTGTACCACTACTTCCTAGCTCTGGCTGCTGGGATTAAAGGTGTGTATCACCACTGCCTGACCTCTATAGCTTGTGGCTGACTTTGCTTTCTGAGTCATCAGGCAAGCTTTAATGAATCAAATAATGCATCACCACAGACATGTTTATTCTTGTTGGATGTCAGAACACAGCTATAGAACCCATTCTGATCAGTGTACTACGAATCTGGATATAGCCTTCTGTGTTGCCTCTGTACTATCCTGGATATAGTCTTTAGTACATGCCAGACAATTGTGTTTAAATTGGTCTGTCCTGAGAAAGTTCTGGGGAAGGACTGCTCTGTTAATATGTGTATGTGCTTATTGGCATTTATATGTTTCTCTGAACTCAACCAACCTTAGATCATTGCATTTTTTGTTACATTCATATATAAAGTACACTGAAACTGAAGTAAAGTTGTCTACAGCATTAGACTAGTCCACCCCATTCTTTCAGGTCCTCAGACCCCAGATCTACTTAGGTGTGATGAAAGTCAACAGGAAGGGGTATGGTATATATGTTCTTATAAAGGAGCATTCTGCATTCTCTTGTTCTCTGTACCTTGACTACTTGACTACAGAGAACACTAGTTAATTGCCATCTATTACAAATAGAAGCTTGTCTGATGTGGGTTGAGGAATTAATCTGGGTGTGATGAATTATTAGTAGTCAGTTGAATACAAAGTTCATTTAGCACATAATGCATTTAGAATATAATACACTTTGGGGAAAAGAGCCTCTTAATGATGAAGGTCAAACTGGATAGCTACACATAAAAGAACAAATTATCTTGTTTCTCATCCTGTGCAAAATGCAACTACAAATGTATCAAGAACTTCACTGTAAGACCCAATGCCCTAGTGAATCCATTTGAATTTATTGGCACAAGAAAGGACTTTTTGAACAAGACCCCCAACAGCACAGGCATTAAGACCAACAAGTGCACAAAATTCAACTCCAGATAGATCAGGGACTTAAGACCTGATACTGGAGGATTCTTTGGATTCAGTGGACAAAGAAAGGACTTTCTGAATGGGACCCCCACAATGTAGGCATTAAGACCAATATCAACAATAAATGATCTGAAACTAAAGCTTCAGTAAGCAAGGGGCAGTCTACAGAAAGGGAAAAAACAAACATCTAGACTACAAAGAACTCAAACTAGAGTTCAAGAAAACTTAATAAAAAGTCGGACATGGAACCGAGTGAGTTTTCAAAAGACAACATTCAAGTGGTTGAAAAGAGTTTTAAAATGTTCAACATCCTTAGCCATAAGGAAAATGCAAATTGTCTAATGGTTACTTTATGATATGAGTCAACAATTCCAACAGTTTTAAAAACACTCATTGTAAGCAATACAGTCCAGAGATAAAGTAATTTGATTCATACTGAAAAGTAATAGGAAAATATTGGGTCTTTGTTTTTCCTAATTAAGCCATTGCATTTCTACAAGAGCAGAAAAATTCATATATACAGTAAAAACACCAATTGATTGTGAGCCAGTGTTTGGGCAACGTTGGATGGGATGGCATGGTGGCGCATTTTGAAAAGTGCATGTGTTTAAGACTAAAGCTGCAGGGAAGTTGTGTGATGCAGTAGATAGGAGGACTGCCAATCATCACCACCATCATCATCGACACTACATTCTGAAACTTTTTACTCTTGGCCAAATATTTTGCAATGGATGGAGTTAGCAATTACATGACTCCATGTAGGACTGGCATCCAGTTAAGATGTGTTTTAGGGTTTCTACTGACAATGAATTATGGAGCTCAGTGGCTTCATGGAGTCAGCTTTAAATGTTCCTTTCTAGAAACTAGTGCTAGGGGCCTTATGCAGGCTAGATAAGCATGGTGCCTACCACTGAGCTACTACTGTCTCAGCTTCTCTTGCTAGATTCTTGTCTGGCTTCCAGCATCTTTCTCAAATTACATGTCCTGTGGAGTTGTTATCTGAACCTTCTCCCCACTCCCCTTTTAGTAAAGCTAAAACTTCAAATTCTTGAAACCAATGGCTTGTGTTATTTTTTCTTTAGCCGCCAGGGGGCAGAAGTGGATTATGCGAGTCTTAAAAGGCAAGGCATTTTTTTGTTGCCTTGATGCTGTCACTTTGTTCAGTTAAATTACAGCTTGTTTTAGAAACGAACACCAAGCTGTGTTATGTGATTATTTTGTGTGTGGTTTTCAGGTACCACAAGCTTCAAGATCTACAGGAATTCATTTTTATAGAGAAAACTATGGAAGCAGAGTTTAAGTTTTAACTGTACTTCATTAAAACCTCTAGATCGATTTTGTACTCTAAGAGAGTTCAAAAAAATCTGTTTTAACCTTCAAGGCAGAGGTACTGTTTGTTCTATAGGCATACTATTGAACCTGTTTTTTGTTTTTCTTTTTTCTTTTTGCCTTTAACATTTTCTTCATTGGACATTAGGGCATTTGAATCAGGCTCTCATTGTTTTTCTTTACCACCAGAACCAACCTAGTTGTTCAAGGATATTGTGAGTTCAAGACCAGCCTGGTCTACAAGAGCTAGTTCCAGGACAGTCTCCAAAGCCACAGAGAAACCCTGTCTTGAAAAGAATTCCTTCACACTGGTCTGTATTTGCAGTTGCTATTGCTAGCATGACTGTGGCTCAGTCCATGCTTGGGGACAACCATTATTAGCTGTAAAGTGATGATTTGCTGTGTAGAATGACTGGTCTTTTAAAGAAATGTGCTGTGCCTAAATTATAGGTGAAAGTTGTGTGTCTTCTGAGAAATAAAATGTATGGATGTTGAATGTGCTTTTGATGAGGATATGTAACCCACTCCGAGCTGCAGGGCTGTGACATGCATTTCTGTCCTTTTATGACTTCAGTTTGGGATAGA